ACATTTCAGGTCATCCAGGTCTTAAATAAGATGGGATCCGTTCCTTTTATCAAAAGTTGTGATATTGCATCATATCTGTGATCATATGCTGAAAATATATGAATTATCGCGTATTTCTGTTGTTCATTACATACCAGGTGATGGTCTAATCATGTTTTGCCGTGGAGTGTTTTGGTTTTGAGATGCTCGATAACCTTAGAGGGATCGGTTTTGCTTAATGAGCAGAATATCATGGGTTTAATCCCAAGCTCTCCCACAACATAACACAACACAAACATATCAAGTATCATTCTAGCTAAAAATATTTATTTGCATAATATAACCTGGAAATTTCAGGGTTACATCTTCCTTATTGGGAGCTGAGGAGACATAGAGCTGCATCATATTGTATGTAAAATAATTATTATTTTCATTGCAGAATATCAGTTTTTTAATCCATATAAATGTATTTTCATTATTACGTATTTTAATGTTCTGATATATTTCATTTCTCCATTACATATGTTTACTATATATAAATAAATACTGGGTTGGGAGGGAGCATCAGGGTATCATTTGACCTGGAACTGGACGATTGGAGTGGTATGACAACCGGAGTCTAGGAGGGAATAAACACTATCATTTTCTTTATCCTACCGATTCGATTGTGATGGTGTGAATTGTACTCCAACAGTTTCATGGAGATTGACGCGCCCTTCTTAACAAACCATCCTGTAGGAAGCTTAATAAGTATTGCGAATTGCGTTATTCGATTTGTTGGATCGTATCGTTGGAAGGAGATTCTTAAATTCCCGTGGATTTCGCGTAAGTGTCTCTGCTTACGGGTCCACCCCACCGTTTTTGGCTCTTCATACAGTAATATTGTGAATTCAGATCGGTAGCTCAAATGGATCTTGCTTTTAAGTGGAGCTGCATACAAGACCAGATCTTCGAAGGAATGGTGGCTACCTTACATAAATACATATACATGACCCACCCTAGTGGTTATGGATCCACTCAACCATAAAGGGGCTTCAAAGCATCTGATGAGGGCATGGCAGGATCATTGATCCCCTCAAAATTGTAGGTGGCTTCATTCATTGTTGAAGACAGTGAGATGAAAATTGGCCACCCAAAATCAAATCAAAAGTTCATTTCCAGTTATTGTTGTATGTGACCATCATCAGAAAAAGCAAATAAAATTATTTTAGAACGTTCAATTTGGGCACGTTAGCACGGTGCAATTAATATTCATCATCGTTTAAACTGTGCTTGATAAGCGGCAACGAAAAAAAAATGATTTTATTATCCGGAGTGATTTTGTTTTATTAGGCCTCCGAATAATCGTGTTCAACCTGTATTTTTCCTATTTTGATTGAAATGATCTCAAATATTGGTCTCTATGCGCAAATTAAATATAACTGTGAACTAACAGAAAGTTAAAAATTACCAAAAGTTCTACGACTTTTGACAATTGTATTGATATTGGAATAGGACATTTTGAGTTAAATCAATTTGTATCATGTTTTTAGTGTGTTTTCTCTAATTTTGTTACGAAAATTAACCATGTATATTTTCCCAAGGAAGCATTTATGTTTTTCTAAAACTTTGTCTCAGGCAGCATTTTGATTAGAAGTAACGTTTTCATGCCACGATTTATTGAAAAATATAAAAAAAAACCGTTTTGAAAAAAAAACAAATAAGAAGGATCCAAAATAGCCGTATTTCAGCCCAAATGTGAATGCCCATAACAAACAATAATGCAAAATTTAATGCAAATAGAAGAAGGTTGAGTAAGATCTTTTTTTTTATTGAGACTTATAAAAATAAATGTTTTGTAAATTCCTTTTCTTATATTAAGTTTCCGTCATTGATATATTAGAGAGATACGCAATTTTGCCTTTAGATTTCAGTTTATATATTTTATATTTTATGAGCTAATCATGGTTTTGACCCCAAAAAAAGCATTTTTTTTTTCTTAAACAAACAATCCCAGTCGGCGCCGCCGGGATTTTCTGAAGCATCACATCTTCCTTCGGAAGGGAAGTAAAGCAGTTGGTCACCGGTTCATGAGCTGATGAGGTGATAGGTAGAGTCCAGGTGCGGGAGCTGCCTCTCTGGCGTTGGTAGCATTGGTACTCGGATCGGAAAACAAGATCGACGGAAAGCAAATCAAGGAAAAAAAAAGAAAGTGCTGCTCAATCCATTTAAAACAATTTGTTTTCAATAGTTTTCTCCACCGATATGCTTATTGTGAAAGTATAACGAAATGTATGGCCATGTGATATTTTAGGATCAAATACATTAATAACTCCTAAAATATCATAAATTAATATGGGCGACTTCAGTGAAATCGTGGTTTAAAGAAAAATATGAGGTTTAGTAAATTTCATTTATTTCCACTACCTTTATTTTCTAATCCTTGACTAGGTTAAGCAGATAAAAGTAGTGGAAAATAGAAATTATAAATCGTGCGTTCTTTTTCTCATAAAATATAACATCTATAAACTTACCTCCAAAGACAAAATGGCTATCTTCATTATGCACATAGGTTTTATAGACGAAAATTATTGACAAAACATTGATTTTTTGAAGTTTCCATTCGAAAATCGTGTTTATCTTACAAATTGTAAGAGATAGGGGCTTAATGTCTTCTTCAAAACAGTTTTTTTTTTTTAGTATTATCCAAAACATTGCCGAAAACACGATTTTGCTATCTTGACTCAAACATAAATTGTTATCCATCTCTCTGCTAGGTGGATTAATAACGAAAAAAAAACAATGTTCAAAAGAACGAGCTAATCATGTAAAAACACTTCTTCAAAGCTACTGTATCCCTAAGATAACCCATTTTCGTCTAAATAATAAAACGTACGTTTTTTCCACTGTGCAGGGTACAGCAGCCAGTTTCGAAAAGGTGAGGTTTAAAGTCAGCGTTTACGTAGCTACTCTTTGAGTAGTGTTTACATAGTTTTCTATGAGACATCACTTCTGATTGCAAAAAGCTCTCGTCAATGTTTTTCTTTAAATTTTTTTGCACAAAACGACAAGAGCTTTTGTCAATGTGAACTGATGTCTCAGATAAAAGAATATTATAAATTTTAACCTTAAGCGAAAACAACAAATCAAGAGGACTGGCAACTCTTCCATTTTCTCATACGAAAGCTATGAGACAGGTACAATCGCGTCATTTGCCGCTCAAAGGTAAATGCTTCAAACGAATATGATAGCAAAGATTACATCCTCAGGCGAAGGGTTTGTGTATTTGCTCATTTTTCTATGCGTTGCTTCCACCTTCACTTAAACGCAGCGCTACGGTATTTGTCGCTTAGATTCGCATGTGATTTGTTGTCTTCGCCTTAAGGCTATTCGCCCATTCAACAGGTTGAAGAATGAACCTCCATAAATCACGATAAAATATTAAATTCGTTTATAACAGTAAATGTCAGTTAGAATCGTAATCCGTTCTTCAATCCCATAATTGGTCAACAAACTGGAGCAGCTCGAAAAGTCACGAAGAAAAGTCCCATCCCATCAGTGACGTGAAACTTCAGAGGAAGGAAGTGAATCGTAGAAAAAATTTCAATTTGATCATTATCGCGAAATAAAATTGAACCGAATAAGTTAATTATTCGATTCGAGTTCGTTGCAGAAGGAAGGCTTCAGCAACAAGAATTCCCAGGAACTGTTTGTAAGGGTAGGCATTTTTCCGGAACGGATGGATGCTCGTTGGGCTCTTGAACACCTTGAGGGCAAAACGAGCGGAAATTACGAATAAAAGATAAAAATCAGTGGAAAGAAATTTAAATTGGATTCAATTTTCTGCTACTTCAGAATTTGTTCGACGAAGAAGTGGAGGGATTGCATGGAAAAGACGATGGCGACGGGAAGTGTGATGATGGAAATTAAAAGCAAGAAAGCGACGGCATTCCGACGGAGGGAAGTAGGAGTGGTGTTTTGCTTCATTGGAGGATGAGAACAAAAGGAAATTAAAGATCACGCTGCGTAACAATTAGCTAATTATTTTCTCAATTAGGAAACGGCTGGAAATTGAGTTTAACGAGTTTCGGACCTTTGTTACCCTGTGGTGGAGCGTTAATACCGATGTAATTACTTTGAACTTAGCAGATTTGTTCTTTGCTGTGGTTTAACGAAATCATGCTTCAGTTCATATAGCGATGATTGATATTCACACGATTGTCCTTGAGACGTTTCACGACGTCGCAGACAAAAGTCAATCTGTTCTATTTCCCTCGGGGACTTTCCCCGAATAAAGAACCTTGACACTATTTGTTTCCCCCCACGGGGCACGGCAGATTCAAGACAGTTTCATGGAACACAATTTATCTTCATTTTACCGCGCGCATGTAGGGCTCCGTTTCAAAGGACGCTCGTATTTCTTCACAAACACCGTCAGCCGAAGGATCCTCCAGAGGGAAGTGAATCCAAGTGAGTCCTTTCACGCATTCTACCAGTTTCGACTTCCCTTCCCCTGGAGCCCGATTTTATTTATTCATGGCGTGTTCCCGGCGCAGCAGCATTACGTAATTCCGCGTGATCAAATATTCAAAATGCTAGATGACGCATAAAACGCCAGCTTTTCCGAGGAGTGACAACTCTCCGAGGCTTCTCGGATTCAGCGAAAAATAGGCACAATAGACATCAAGAACAATAATTCTCCAACTGCCGACGGCGACATCCAGCGCGTGGCACAAATCAAATCGTTTCCGATTTCAACATAAAGAAAGTGACGACGACGATCAGCGAGACAATAAAAAAAAACGCACAGTCCAAGAAAACGCGCACTGAGTGTGAAATGTGTGAATCGTTTTCTTTTTCGGTAACGATGATTTGATTTATTGGAAATCGGGGAAGTTTTATGGCTGTTTGAAGAAATATTAATAATATTTGATAGACGAGCGCTTGGGGAGCGATTCTGGCAGCTGACTTCCGGAACGTGTTCTCGAATGGAATGAATGGGACTGGGGACTGGGGAGGAAATGAATGATTCCGGAACTTACCCGGTCCAGAGCACAAATTCAACGTTATCGCCTTGCTTGGATTTCATGGCATGTGATGCGGACTCCAGCAGACTCCATGGACTGTCACACGCGTAATCTCCGAACTGGCCGGGCTTCTTGGTGTTGCTCGAGGGCGATCGATCGTTGAGCCAACAACCTACCGGATGGGAAAAGTGTATGTTATTTATTGGTTGCATTTATAGACTAGTTTGATGGAATGTTTATGAAAGCAGTATTATTTAATTTTAAATATCCTTATTTAATTTTAACAGCCATTTGATTGAAAGTTTTCGTTACTGCAAGGGTATTTATCATACAGTTAATTATTAATACGTAAAGCAGTATTTATATCATGATTTTTAAATCATGGTATAATTAATGCTTTAAAAAAACTGATTTTGAGATTTGTCTCCATTTCGACTCGAGTAATTTAAAATTGAATTGAAACAGAACTTGTCACATGCTTTTGAGCTTATGTAGCATATAATTTGTTCGGTACGGTCGCGAAATCTTGAAATTATTGATACATCCGTTAAATTAACTAATTTGATACAAAGCTCAGTTAAAGAAGTAGAATATCTAGGGAGGAAACCAAAATTAATCAACTTCCCAACATAGGCTATCACATTTATTTTGAAGGCATTCTTTAAATGATAAGGCTTTTTTTCTCTCTTCGGTTGTCTTTCGGAATTCACGCGGTTTTTTCGTAACAAACATAATTTAGATATGCACGAAGGTCTAAGTCCTCAGTACTATTATTTTAAATTTATGCAGACATGGCAGTCCTGTCACTCCAAACCAATGGAAACGCATTATAGTTTTTAGGAAAAACATGAGACCTAATATTAAAATATATATCAAAATCAAACAAAATATTAGTGTCTGGATTTTTTTTAATGTTAAGGAAAAAAAGTGAGCTTTCAAAAAAAATTAAACACAAGGGTTCCTTTGGTCTCAGCACTGGAAAAGCCATAACAAATATTTTAGTATGTTCAAACTTATTTGATCTTCAGCTTCATATTTTTTACTTGACACTGCTTTCAAATACCTTTCATTTGCTGAATAAAGATCGTAAAGCCTGGTACGCAGCTGAAAAGTAATGACGTTTCTACGTGCTACGGGATAGGACACGGAATGCTAAAGAAATTACTTTCCTTTAGCATTTCTTGACCCAGTACGCAGTTTTAAAGAAATCGGTAAAGAAAAGATCGATTACATTGGTGGCGTGATCGACATGAAAGTGGTGCATCCTGAGTGTAATTTCACTTTCTTTGCGGAATAATGATCTGATAAATTATTCCGTTAGGTAATGTTGGCGCTTATTGCAAAACTGATGTTTTGGATGCATTTTAACAGCATAAACACAAATAATTTCTTTCCTTTATTTAACGTCGGTCTCTGCTCCGCAATCTAGTGCCAATCACCGACGGACATCGATTGCCATGCATTGACGGCAATCGAATGTGCAGGAAGGCAGCTTCCACACCTGCATAGGATATCGCACCCATTCACAACACACATGGGCCGGGACCAACGGCTTTACTTCCCTTGCGAAAGGAAGACGTGACCAGAGGTTTTTATGCCTCAGAAAAATCCCACCAACCTCGGCTGGGATTGAACCCAGAACCATTGGGGTGTTAGAAAGCAGTCACGCTTACCACTACACCACCGGCGCCGGCTAAACACATATACTTGTTGATTTTAAAATTTGACGACACCTCGCTACAATATCAAAATTTGGCAAAAGACACCTCCCTATAGCAGTCAAATATTCTTTTGGGAAAAATCCTCAAGAAATACTTTTCCGTTTTTATTTCATCTGCGAAACAGGCATAAATCGGTAAAGTAGTTAGAAGGTTATGAATTTTCAAAGTTGGAAATATAGGCAAAAATGTTGATTATTTGGACCACCCTGACTCAGGAAGGTGCACCTTTATGGTCAACTGGTCTAAAATTCATTGTTAAGGAACAAAAATACCAAGTTTGAGCAAATCCGGAGCAATATTTTTGTTGAGTGCTGATTGAACCAGCGACCGAAACGGATGTGTTTTGTTCCTTCTGTGCTTTTTTTTTTAGCTGCTGAAAACCTTTTCGCATGCGTTTTGTTCTCGAGTGACTGGAGGTGAACTGGTGATCGCATTTAAAAGTTTTGAATACCGTGCGTGATTTTTTGATCTCTTGTTGCTTATGCAATGGTGCTTTGTGTGGTCTTGCGTTTTTCTTTGCCCCGTACAACCTCTATCACACTGATATATTTTTCTGTTGCTGCGATGAGCAACTTCTTTGTGTGGTGTTAAAGAAGACAGTGCGAAAATACATGACCTTGATTATGCGTGGAGTGCGTTCTTTTGTACGTACGAGCTAGAAGAGCGTTATCAGTGATTGAGGTGGTTCAAGAAAAATTAAATAGCATTTCTGAAAACATGACGCTGCAAAGTCTCTAGGCCGGTCGAGTGAGATCTTTCCATTTTATCTATTTAAATTTTATTTTTTGTCACTAATTTATCAAATTATCAAATGCTCTATATTGACGAATAGAGTTGCCAAATCATTCACCCTCCCACTAACACAACTCTTTCCTTCCTGTGACACCTATGAAGGTAGTATGGGTTCCCTGCACCTTCTTAAGTAGATGTTGGATTAACTTTCCCTCCCTTCCCCTGTGATTGTAAGGATGTGGCCAGGGGTATAATGCGATGCTTGTATTGTAGATTTTATTTTCGTGTGGGGAAAATCACTAATCCCAAGTGATATTTTCTGCGTCAACACTCGATATTTTCTGCAAAACGTATTAGTTGACCATTATATAGCCACCCACGATTTGTACAATCGCATATGCTATGCTATGCTATGCTATGCTATCCGGAGCAATATTTTTGTTGGAAGTACATTTTTCATTCAATTGCTGTAGGTACATAAATACAGCCATTCCATTGCAACACGATATTGTGGTTCTCAGAGTTTAGTAAAAATTAGTAGATTTGCTTTTTATTGCAAAATATTAATATATTGTGGGTTATTTAAAATTATTTTTCTGTATTATGTAACCGGAAGTCGCCTTCTTTTCTTAAAAATGGGGTCAGACAGATCGATTTCCGGTTCCTTCAGGTCACTTTGATTCCAAAAATACCCATATTTGGCAGAATTTCCATGGTTTTCTGTAACCGGAAGTCGCCATCTTGGATTTAAAAATGGCATCATACATGGATTTCCGGTACCTTCACGTTTCCCCGATTCCAAAAATACTAATATTGTGGGGTATTTCAAATACTAAACTGAGAGGTACTAAATTGGAGTTATATAAATAATTGCGAAAAAATAGCTTCCAACATTAAGAAATTATAGTATTTTCGTCAATTCTATTTTGGTATTTTTGCTCACGGTAATTTTTTTAAATATTTTTTAGACACAAATTTAGCAAATTTTTAAAAACATAAAATTCTCGAAAATTCTTTATTAAATTGTTATAATTTTTAATCTTTTCAATGTTCATGAAAATGGCAAACTTTTGAAACATTAAAAATTAACAAATATCGTGGCAGAACAACTTTTAGTAAAATTATTGAACTTTTTCCTAGTTAGCTTTTTTATGTTATTTTTGCACAAACAACGATTTCAAATGTTTCAATTATTGATTGCTGCAAACCAATTGCATCTAGCTTTAAAGGATAAATGACGGCTTCGGCAAAACGTTAACCTATTATCGTCATGGGGGTAAACAACGTCATTGAGAGCTCAATTTTTGCATGTGAATACATTGTGTTTGACAGCATCTATTGGCCAAATTTGAGTGCACTAGGACTTTGTTTACCCCCTGACGATAATAGGTTAAGATATTGTCGAAGCCGACATTTCCCCTATATAACAATGAATTACTGTCTGTCTGTCTGTCTGTCTGATCCATATAGACTCGGCAACTACTGACCCGATCGGCGTGAAAATTTGTATGCAAGGGTTTTTGGGGCCGAGAAAGGTTCTTATGATGGTTTGAGACCCCTCCCCCTTCTTTAAGGGGGGGGGGGCTCACATAAAAATGAAACAGAAATTTCTGCATAACTCGAGAACTAATCAAGCAAATGGAACTTGGCATGTGGAGGTATAAGGAGATGGTAATAGGGGATAGCCCCTTAGATAAGCGGGGGGGGGGGGCTACGTACAATATAGTATGCTTTTTTTAAACGGCGCATAAGCTCAAGCTAATATTGATTCGCGAGCAAGGCCGGGCACACTCAGCTAGTATCATACACTGATAAAATTTCAAAGATTCAGAGTTGGTTGGAAATGCTAACATGAAGCTTTAGTGTGATGATTTATTAGCTAGAGAATGATCTTTAGAAGAGGGTAGGTGGATAGTTCCGTTAGAGTACGGCACGACACTGCGTATGAAGTAACATAAAAACACTTTGAATGTTTCAAAGATTGTTTTTATGTGCCCCACACATGATTTTTTGCAATGTGATCAATAAATGATAGCTATGTGTCGGACACTTACTTAATATGTGTACACATACAAGCCATATGTAACCACACATACTATTCATTTGACTCATAAATTTCATGTGTGCTTCTGGGTGGATTATGTTTATGTGTGGTCACATGGAAATCATGTGGAATTTCACATGGAAATTCATCAATAAAAATATGTGAGATTTTATTAGTGTATAAATATGAAACTAAAACGTGCGTGCCAGCTGAGGCTTATTTTCGTGACAAATGTGGCTGGTAATTAAAGGTAAAATTAGAGAGATTAGAATTAAAATATGCTAAGTTGCAGGTTATATACGTTGTATATTTGGCATATACTGATATCAAAAACTCATGCAAGCGTTCAATCGTTATGACCATTTTTTAAAGTGACAGTTATTCCGAATCACCAGGTATATAAATAGATCACATAATATGCCCATTTGATTATGATCAAGATTTTCAACCCCACCTTCCTCCTCGTCCCATTGTAATAAACTGTAGGAATGTTGGAACCTCCCTCCCTCTCTATTGCCTTAAATATTTTGTGGATGACCCAAAACGTCTTAATGCCGAAAATCCATTCGGTCAAACGACCATATGTCAAATGAGATATCATCAAATAGGACGAAGCTCTTCAGAAGTGTATTTAATGAACACTAAATTGAAATAAGCGAAAAGGTCCCACTGGGATTATTCTACCCAAAGAAGAAGATGTATGTGAAAAGATTCACCGTATTGACAGTAATTAACATCGTCGCCTACTACCGAAATGATGATGGTATGAATTCGTCTGTTCAAGACTATCATTTAGAATGTTCCGATTACTGTTATGATGTCATCATTCTCTGTGAAACCTGACTAAACGACAATACCCTCTTCAGCCAAATATTCGGCTCAAACTATGAGGTTTTCCGGTGCGATAGAAGTCCCACGAATAGTAGGAAGGAACTTTCTCGAAACCTGCTCGATGGACTGGTGCCGCACAAATCTGGGTGAAAATCAAATTCTCTGATCAAAAGTTATTCCTTGGTGCAGTATACATCCCTCCAGATCGTATTCGTGATGATTTGCTCTATAAAGCTCTCATCCGATCTGTTATATCTATTTCATGTGACGCTGCTGTATGTGACGAATTTGTTATCCTTGGTGACTTCAATCTACCCGGAATTATTTGGCAATCTTCAAATAATTGCTTCTTGTAAGCAGGCACGGAAAGGTCTTCGTTCCCATCGTGCACCAATGCCTTGCTAGGTAGCTATAGCATAGCAAACCTTCGCCATATTAACCACTGTTTCAACAAATTTTGGACGAAGGTTGAAAGTTGGATTGCTCCAGACATCTCAGTGAGTCCAGCTCCACTCTTGAAACACGTGCCACATCACTCACTCCTGCAGTTAATCCTTAAAGACAATAATCTTCCAGTTTTCAACGATAACGCAGAAACGGTGAGTTATGATTTCAACAAGGCCAACTACAACAACATTATTACTGTTTTGAACACACTTGATTGGGAAGCGCTACTAGATCACGAGAACTTTTTCAAACATTCTATCATATGTCATAGACCACCACGTTCCTAAGAAGACTGCTGAATCTTCCGAGTATCCGCTATGGCAATCACGTGAAATGTGCCATCTAAAAACAAAGAAACAGCACTATTTGCGTATCAACCATCGTTACCAAAAATTTAGTAAAGCTTCTTTTCTGCTTACTAGCGCAATATTCAAGCATCCATGAAATCAAACCCAAAGTCCTTTTGGAGCTATATTCGAAGTCAGAGAAAAGAGAATGGATTGCCATCGACGATAAAGTTGAATGACGCTGAAGCTTCGAGTGAACCGGAAATCTGCCAACTGTTCTTTACGAAAATGGCAGCTGTTTTTTTTTCAAACGATTCGATGCAGCCACAACAGATTAACGAAGCTGCTTCTAAATTTAAGTATTCGACTTTACTTGGACCCAACTCTCACTACGTACCGGCACCTTTCCATCGCTATAGAAGACAGTTTATATGTTCCCTGTCCACAAAAGGGTGACCAAACTAACGTTGACAATTACCGGGGTATTTATTTCTGCGCTGTGTGCAGTATCGAAATTATTCGAACTAGTGGTGCTGGACCCTATTTTTTCCAATCCAAGCAGCTCATCTCCGAAGGTCAGCATGGTTTTATGTCGAAAAGATCATCCACTACGCATCTCCTCTGCTTCACTACGTACGTTGTTGAAGGAATGTCTGAAAGACTGCTGACACTATCTACACAGATTTGTCATTAACTTTCGACAAAATTAACCACGAAATTGCTGTTGCAAAACTCGCCAGGTTAGGTTTCACCGGCTGTCTCCAATCTTACTTGACCGGTCGGCGTCTTAACGTCAAGATTGGAGAATGCCTCTCTAACGCCTTCTCTGCTTCTTCTGAAGTTCCTCAAGGCAGCCATTTGGGCCCGTTAATTTTCCTATGGTACCTAAATGAGATCAACATTTTACTAGAAGGACCTCTTTTATCATATGCATTGGAAAATAGCTAAGCCACACGATGTGACTTTCTACATATATTCGCCGACAGGTGCGACATGAACAGAATGGGGCTAAACACGAATAAGTGCACTGTAGTTTTAATATCAAGAAGCCTGAGTCCACATATCTACGACTATTCTTTGTCGGGTGTTCATGTTAGTAGAGAGAGCATGGTGAAAGTTCTTGGGGTGGTCTTGGATTACAAAATGACATCTAGTAAACACCTCTTTTATATAACGGATAAAGCTTCGAGAAACCTAGGACTGATTTTCCGCGTAGTCAAAGATTTCAAAGACGTGTACTGTTTGAAATCACTATACTGTACCCTCGTTCGATCGGTACTGGATAATGGATCAGCAGTTTCGAATCCCTTCTATCTAAATGGATCCGAGAGGGTAGAAAGCGTTCAACGCAGGTTTCTTCTCTGGGACCTGCGTCAACTTCCATGGCGCAATCGCTTTGAGCTGCCACATTATGGAAATCGGTGTTAGCTGATAGGTCTGGACACTCTCAGCGTCAGAAGAAATACATCCAGTGCTCGGGGGGGGGGGGGGGGGCGACCCCGGCGTAGTGGTTAGCATCCATACCTCTCACGCCAAAGTCACTAGTTCAAATCTCACCCCCGGACAAGTTACGAATGACCCAAGAGCGTTAAAGTGACTATAATAAAAAAAACACACACACACACATCCAGTGCTCACTGTGTTTCTGATGTGCTCTGTGCGCATGTTGACTTTCCACTCTACTGGCACATCTACTTCTTCAGACAAGAGCACGTAGTTTGAGAAATAACTCATTAATAAGATTGCCGTTTGTCGTACCTACTATAGTGCAAACTGTGGAATGCATGGCCTTCCGTGAGTTTTTAATAGAGTAGCCTGTATTTTTGATTTCTATTTTTCCCGTGAAACGTCGAACAATAAGTTTGTGACTGCTTTCAGGTGATTTATGTAGTTTAGGCTAAATTATTATCATCATTGGGGCACCGCACAGGGTCTGTTAAATAATATAATGTCAAGTCAAAATATGCAAAACATATTATATCCAAAACATAAGATAACGGCATGTACTCAGCTTTAGTCAAATGGGAAAGGGTTGTGCTAGATCGAATAAACCTTATCATAGTTAATTCTATCTTTCAAATCGTTTGTTAAAAGGTAACCTACAATACACTTCTTCTAAGATCTTCTTTTGCATTCAAAAACATCAAAGCAAAGGTAAAGCATTTTGCCTTCAATTGTATTTGATGCACTAAATAAAGACAAGAGACCATCTGTTCACCGCTCAGCAAACCAGCAAATTAATTCGAAATCAGATTCAATTACACCTTGTTCAGATGCTTCGAAAACAGTTTTGATTGAACTACTTATGATAAGTTCAATATCAAGAGCGATTCCATCTTAGTCTGCTTCAGTAAACACAATCATTCTTCTTACAGCAGTCAGCTAAACTCAGAACAACCGGGAATGGAAGGTCTGCTGAGATTATGGGTAATAAGACTTATTGCACTCCAGTCAGTTGGTGTCAGGAAATTGCTCGCGTTCTATCGGCTACATCACTCTCTATCAGATGGTGTTCGTTCCACTGACTAGTAAAAGCAAACATCTGAATGCTACTTTTCCACTTTTTTTTCCTACTAGATCAGTGTTGTACTTACTGCGGGTTATATCTCCTTTGGTAGAGTAGTACGAGTCGAAATGTAAATCCGTTATGTGCCAGAAGTATCCTGCAAACAAGAAAGAGTGGAATAATGTAAGTATGAGTAAAAGGCTAAAACGAACCGACATAAAGCAAGTAAATATTGAATCCAAATAAAGCACACGAGCCAGCAGACTGAGGGTTCGATACAAGTACAATCATTGAGTGAGTCTGAATGCACTGAGAGAGAGAGAGAGCTTCATTTCCGATGAGCTTCGTTCCGAATTCAGCATCGATTTTTCTCCTAAGAACAACAACAACAAAAATATCAGCAGAACCTCTAAGTATCAAAGGAGAATCTTATATATTTCGCATTTTTATTGCTTTTGGGAAGGCGGCTGGAATGATACAACGCCCCCTCGTCTTCCAAGTCCAAAGATATACTCATCCCAGTGCAAGAACAAAAATGTGGCTGCTCGGTGGTCCTGGTTTGGAAATTGATTCTCATTCCATAGCCACCCACTTGCGCTGGAACTTCCATTCGTTGGCATCTCGGTTTTGTTGTTTGGTCTTGAAATCGACGATCTACAAACGATTTGATGTGGGGGAGGGGGGGGGGGCTTATTCACCGAGAAGAATATTTGTATGCCATTCATATAATTGGTTTGCAACGTCTTTGGCTGATAACATTTCCGCTTTGAGCTTTCCGTTCAAGGAATCTCTTTTGATGAGTATAAATGGCTTGCTTGGTAAACTCTGGGGGATAGAAAAAACTACAACGACGTTTCAAGAATAACTGGTTAACTGTATTTCAGTTTCAACATTTTAATTTTAATTTGTATCGCTAAAACGTTCGAATGAATGTTTTTTTTTATATTGCAGAGATCTCTTTTTTTCTTCTTTATTATAGAGATTTTTAGCCTTATTTAGTTCATCTCTTCGCAGAGATCTCTTTACAACAAATAACTAAAACGTTAAATGTTACGCTTCCCTGGTTTTCATACATAACGAGCGAATCGTTTTGCGTATTTATTATTGATAAAAAGCTTTTCCTGCACCATCAAAGGCAAAAGCAGCCCAGCAACTCGCAATTCCGATAGTGAGTGGAAATGTGAAAGAACTGAGATTAATGTGAGTACCTGAATCGCTTGTTACCATGCAGGCACTGGCAGCAACACGGAACGAAGGAGCCCTGTTCAGAAAACCATTCGAGACGCTTTTTTCGAGGGCCCATCATCTTCGTCGTCCTTGTCATACACCATCCTCGGGGAAAGGTATGGAAATAAAGATGTAAATAAGAGGCAACGACGTTACCCAATTTGTTCATCGATTTTCTGAAGTGGTGCTTGGATCAGCATCCCTTACCCATGCTGGCTGGATCGTTTTCAAGGACCAGGAAGCAATTTTCTATCCAGCTTTTATCGATGCTGTTGATACCGATGTCGTCGCCGTCATTGTCGTCAGAACTGCCGCCGTAATGCAAATGTGAAATTTGTTCAGTGTAGTAGCTGCGACGACGGTTGTTTGACCATAGTTTTTGTGGTAAATGGCTGGAACGTGAGCTGACGACAGAGAAAGGGATTTTCCCATCGATACCACTCACTCGGTCTGAGATAATATGGTGGATTTTAAGGTTGTGCTGAAGTGATGAAGTGAAACAATGTGCTTGAGAGTGAGAGATGATTGGAAGCTTTGTTTAGGTTGAGGTTGAAGTTTCGCTCGTAAAACGCAGTGTTTACTTACTGTTCAATTGATTGAATTTGAATCCTTTTGATAATTGAGAGGTACCCTTTTTTCGACAGTGGATCTCAAACATTCGTTGATTGCGACCCACCTATATAAAAGACAACTATTGTACAGAGTATCTCAGATTGGATAATACCATAGAGGTAACTCTAAGACTAGAAGGTCCCGAAGAAACGAGCTCAACTTTTTGACTCAGCTCTGGTGCTATCTTCGGCCCCAAACTAATCGATGCACCCCTCGAAACATAGGAAAATCCACGAACCCCTCAAACTTTCATAGCGAATCAAAACAAGCATAGTGCAGTACTGGAATTTATATTTATAGAATGGGAAACGTTAATCGATTTGCTTGGGACCAATAGGTTAGTCAAGTAGTGAGCCAATTTAAAATCGTTAGTTTCGAATTGATTGTTGGTAATACCAGGTAATACAATTTTATTTATTGCAAAAGTGTAATTTTTACAGGAAAAGTGACAAATTTACTTCGCTGATGATAAATAAGCGATTCTGCTTGATTTCAATTTGTCAGCTATCATTAAAGCTTTGCTTAAGGTAGCAATACAATATGGGGTTAGCACGCTGATAAATAGACTTATTGAAAGAACTTAACATGAAAACGTCAATCATCATTTGTTGCTAAAACATTTGCTTCCTAATGCTTCATTGATGTGGAAACAATCATATTGCTTCCAACAAGACATTGCTCTGGCTCATAAAACGCAGATGAACACTCAAAAACACAAAAACTGAATTCATTACTAGCAAAACATATACTGGATCTTAACCCGCTTGACTTCTTTGTTAAGGACTAGTTGCTACAATCTAAAAGAACAGAAAGAGGTCTACAATGGATCGACTCAAACAACGCTTCCTCAAATTTTATAAATTAACAATATGGTCCACTCTTCCATTATCTCCAAGACACGGTTTTCCCCGACACTAGCGCCACTAGTGACACAAAAAGTGAGTAAGAGAGAGCCCGACGGTCAGTGGATTTAGGGAGTAAGTCGTGAGCCCTCGTAGAACCGACAAGGAAAGTTTGTTGCGTGTGGTGTGAAATTTTAGTCACCCTCGCCATCGGTCCAAGCCACGCTTTGTTTTCTGGACCGCTAGGAGACCTGACCCCAGCCAAGTAATCCGGTCATCACGGGGTCTTGAGTATCGGACCGCTTGTTATTCAGTCTGACGACTTTCGACGCCGTACTGCCGCTCCAGGTTAAATCGATACCCGGTTTCACGGTCAACCCACCATTAGTCGCCCCTGGCTTATTCTATCATCGGCCGAATCAACCTGGCACCGGCCAAGTTACCGGGCTATTCACGAATCTGCCCGGTCAGTCCACCAGCTTGCCAGTCGATCATCAGTCGGACATCAATCTCCACCGCATTGCGGACAGCCAGCCCTTCGTAGATGGCCCGCCATTGTTCGCCGTCGGCCCCAGCTATTGCAGGTTGACTACCCGGCAAAGCCCAGATCACCCCGGCCATTCAAGTCCTCACGTTGCCCACCCGGCAGCTGATCAGCACCCGATATACCTCCCGGGCTACCTTCGTCGCCGTTTAGAGCCAGAATTACCGGCAAACTCACACGGGCGTCTACCATCGCCATATCCCGGCCAGGGTCTGCCGAACCACCTGCTATCATCACCGCTTCCCGGCCAGAGTCAGTCGAACCACCAGCCGATCACCGTTCGATACTGCCCCGCCCCACTGCCATCGCCGGCCAATAAAATACAAGGTAATGAAAAAAAAAACACAATTGCAGGTCTCCTCACATCCGAAAACTCTTCCACGCCATTACGGACCAGACCCGGAACCTACAAGGGACTTGAGTGCGCACCCCGGGAGCTGCCGTTGGTTAAGACCAGCAGCTTGGGGCTTTGGAGAGTTCCCTTCAGGGACTCAGTGGTTCCGGGGCGGAAAGTAGTTTTACAACCTGGACCCAACCTATCGACCCATCAACTCATGAACCGGGGACCAATGTTATTCCTCAGAACATCCCGGTGGCGCCGACTGGGATTGAAGTCAGGCCTGCTGGGGTGAGAGGTAATCATGCTTACCATTACACCACCGCCGCCACTGTATTCTTTAATCTTAGATGTTTGTAATAAGTTGAGAGCCGGCAAAATGCTCACTACAGAAGCGTTAAAAGCCAAGAAAAAGTGAATCTTACTCAACAGTGAGTAGTTTTCGTCGACAGTGTACCACCAACATCTATCAATTTCTCTGTAAAATCATCATCTAAACTATTTATTTACTGATTACATTTTTTGAAAAAACGCAATGCGTCGATCGTTTTGCGCAGTTTCTGGATGTTCCAGCTCAACAAAAGGCCCTTCAAGTTTTGATTTCTTCCGGATTAAGGACCGTATCGTTATTTATTAATACACCTTTAAAATTCTCTATGAAAAAGACTATGGTTTGTTTTGCCAGCTGTTGATTTTTGAACAAACATATTACCACAGACAAACAGACATAACACATTGAATATTTCTCACTGTACACTGTGGTGGGCACTACGCTAAACAGATGGCGGTAGTGTGTAAACGTCAAACGCAAAGGAATGGACTAGGCGCGCCACGGGTGGTGGTACTACCAACTACGATACTGTTAAATTGTCCGTAAAATGCTTGTTCGATGAACAACTTGCGAATGTAATGTCTGTTTGTCAGTGATATTACCTCATTGAAAGTTGAAGTTTGGTTCCAAGTGCAACAATGAGAGGATTAATAGAAGAAAAACGGAAATCTAATTTGACCAAGTACTGTACTGAGAAAGAGTTATTAATAAGAAAATTGACGAAGCTAGAAGAAGTAAGTGTGTGTGTGGTTCAAAATGCAATCAAGCCGTTCGCTATACATAACACCTTGAAAGATCTACCCGGTCGCGGTCGAAATGCTGGACCATCTAAGCCTGATTTGGATCCAAAGATTTGTAAATTTTTTGAAAGAATAAAGGATGTTGCAAGCTGGGATTGCGCGATGTCGATTGGAATGATCCAATGTGCTAAGGAACTTAACTCCAGCTTTGTGTGACGGCTTTCTCAGTCTTATTTTTTAAATCTAATTTTTAAAATTATCGTTGTCCTCAAATGGTGATCAAAATTGTGTTTCTGGGAGAATTAATTGAACTTCCTTGAGGAGACGAAATTAACTTCCTGGAGACGCTGGCAGAAACTTCCTAAGGTAGATTGGAAGAAACATCTCAACAAAGTCTTCAGCGCTTACGGAACAGTCGAAATAAACAAGTACATAATTCCGGAAGAAAGAGATTCCTGGGGGATGTTCTAATGATCCAGAAAATTTTCCTGATATTAAAAAAAACATCCCTGAAGACTCCGAAA